AACAAACGGATTGGGCTATACTTGGACCCAGCTGGTGTTTACTGTGGACTAAAGTGTCCAGCTTTAAGGTTCCGAATTTGCGGAAGGGGGAATACATCAGCGCACCTTCGACCTTCTTGACTCAACAATCGAGAGGAAAAAAATGAAGTTGATGACAGACAAGACACCACGACGGTTTTACCGGTCCTGGTTGAGATTCCAAATCCGGACACCCAGCTCACAGACTAACGGTGGAATCACTCGGAGACTAGACCTTATCTTACTTCACAAACAGGATAGAATTTCCGAAGGGTAGCTGGCGAGCATACGTAGACTTTCGATAAATTCTCATCGGGCCATTACATTTATATTGGAACGCGGTAGAAGTTAAGCAAGCGGTCAATAATGTTCGTCTATTCAAACAAGTGAGTCGTGGGAATCGGGGAAACGGGTCGAAGAGAGGACGATTACGCGGGGAGGGTTTGGTGGAGCCTGTCTAGGAGAGGGGGAGGGGAGGGAGACTCGTTTTTTATGAAAAGACGAACACTACTAATCGCTTGTTTAACTTGTGCCCCCTTCCCATATAAATGTAATGGTCGAATGAGAATTTACCGAAAGCCTACGTATGCTCGCAAACTAATCTTCCGAATCTTCTGATGGGAATTTTTGTAATGTTAGGTTAGTATTTATTCGGATCGACGATGAGAGTAGCCTCGGCTTTAAACTCGTTTTCTGTGCGTTCACATATGAAGGACTGCCGACAACGGAAGGCGTGAAACGAAGAATAACTTTCGCCAATGCTCTAATAAAAAAGAAACTACTGAATTATGCTATATGAACTTTTAAACATTGCTTCGTGGTTAGATAAATTAAACGACACTTCGTAGAAGAGATCAACGGTAATTTTGTAGAACTAGTTTTGCATAAAATTCTAACCATTTTAAACTGAACAGTCTAATAGGTAGAGGATAATGATATATGCAAATGAGTATCGTAGACGAGACAGGTGAGATTTATTTCACCATTTCTGCCTTTTTAGTCAGCACCAATCAACTATACCTAAAGCCAGGCCTGAATGACTAGAAATTCCAACCTCGGGTACTTATTTCATTAAGGATTAGTTTGTCTAGCGTTCGCTCTCTCGTTGTTTTGGCGGTTGTGATCGGGTTTGTTCTCCATTTACATCTGCATATATTTCTGGTCACTGTGCGTCTATCTTGAGTTCCATAAACTGATCTGCGAACACCTCTTCTATGATAAATAAAGAGTTCTTGAGTCTTAAAACACTTCCGTAATTTGCATACTTTTAAAAGTGACCAATGACTTCGCACCTTCAACAATCACAAGGAATTACAAGTGGTAAAACTTACAAAGCACGTAACTCAGTGAATCTCAGGATATGAGGGGTGCGAGGACAAGAGACCTGAACTACCGAAACGCAAAAATTGGCACTTACCGCGGACTTTGAGAGTGTAGACAACCCGAGCCACGCGTCCGACGAGTGACTCGCAAATGTACTCGCCCGAGTCCTCCACTGAGACGTTAATCAGACGCAGATTGCCAACTTTGCCTTGCACAAACTCGTAACGCGAGCCCCAGGGTCGTTTAAAGGTCACCAGCTGATTGGTGCCCTCCTTTTCGACGCCGCTGCCAGAGCTGGCTGCGACCGGTTCCTCGTATAGCGTCACCGGAGGAGACTCGGGGCGAACTTTGGACCGCCACGACCAATGGACGGGCAGATCTTGTGCACCCTCCACGGCCCAGGGTAGTTCAACTGTGGATCCCTAGAAGTCCGGGAGAAGGGGAGGGTAGAAAGAAAGAGGTTGGACTTCCATCAGTTTTAGCTATCATGCGAGCATTTACAGTTTATCTTCCACGTGAAGAGGCTTACACATCATAATAGTAAGGTTTGTTACAACGGAGAGCAACCGAGAGGAGGCAAGTATGCGGATATCTCACACTCGCGGTCGATTTTGGGAGGTGCCAACTAACAACATCTGGGA